ATATTAAATTAACACATTGCTAAATCTTGCCTTCCTATACTTTAGAGCAAATGTGTCTGAAGGAAATGTACTCAAAGAGCTTTTATTGTAAGCTCTTTCTATATCTTTCAGACAGGTAGTATTTTTAAAATGCATTTAACAGGAAGACTTCAAAAATGTAAATAAAATGTGTTTACTTTCAAAACTTTGCATCTTTTAAATTCAGCAGGAAAATAAAACTAGTAGAAGCTTCCTTAATTCTACAAACAAAAGCAATAGAGAACATTGCAAAAAATTAGGCATAGTTCTTCCATGTGGGATAATTTAAAATAATGTATTTACTGCACTGCTTTCTCTCACTCTCTTTTTAAAGTATTTGTATATTGCACATATATTATTCCCTTACAGCTTCAAGCAAGAGAGATGTCTAAGCTTAACTTCCTCTCTCTATCCTTATATTATTCTGAACAAGGCCTTTTGAAAATGAACTAGAATCTCCTTTCACCTTTGTTTTTCACTAGGACACAATTATCATTTACAGCACTAAATTCTGCAACCACAAACTTGAAATGTGGTAAACCTGTTCAAAGTATCAGATACATTATCCTTGTATCTATCAGAAAATTAGCAAAAAACAAAGCAAAGTTTGCGGTACGGATTAATGCATAAGGCTAGAAACTCAAGAAACCATGAATTCTAGACCTGACTTTGTCACAAAGCTGGTTGACCTTGAGCCAGTCACTTTCTCTCAGCCCTAGGAAGGAGACAATGGCAAATTACTTGAGTCAAGAGAGACTTGAAAGCCAGGCTCTCAAAAAATCCAAAACAAAACCAAAAAGATTAAGAAATGGGAGGAGATGATTTCTATTATTGTCCCGGGAGTTATTTTTTATTTTTCTGTTATAAAATATTAAAGAGAAGTTGTAGAAGTCTCCAGTGCTAGAATGTACAAATGGATTCCTTCCAAAATAAAATTAATATAAGTACCAACTAGTTTCTCTCCAGATGTTGAGCTATAGCCAATAAAGACAGTTCATACCATATAAGATACTTCAGTAACATCTTGTAATTCAGTATTTAACCAACTTCAGACAATGCAATAATGCTAAGGATGTAGCATTGCAAAAGGAAGTTTAGCAGAGTGTGCCTTTCCCTTTCCTGCTCCTCATGTTTATCTTCCTCTTCTGGTGCATCACAAGCACCAAAAACTAAGGATACGGATCCTGATTAAAGAATGCTCTTTAACTACTATGAATAATTAAACTTTTAAATATAATTAGATTAAAAATATGTGCAATTCATGAATCATTTATTGATTAGAATTTTATACATCAGTTAAACATAAAAGTAGCTTCACACTTGGTGGGATATTTGGTAGCCGAAGTATAGAATTTTGGAAGCAATCAAGCTGGGAAAAACAAACTGAGAAGGAACAGCATTCCATAATGAAAATGAGGCATATTTATATTTCCAGTAAGCAAATATTTCTATTTGATAATTTAAAGTTAAGGATCAGAATTAAGAACTAAGAACCTCCTCTCCCCTCCTCCCAATTCAGAAAATAACGGTTGACATTAAAAGCAATTTTACTGGTTGGATTAACTGTGTTTGGATTGTTCTTATAGAAGTAAACACAATCCAGAAGGCTTTTAAGATAGCTACATTCTGAGCCTCATTGTTACGGTGCATCAAGGGAGTGATGCTATGGCACAGTTGCTAATAGCAACTTCTCCATGGGGAAACTAAGCATTGATCCATTTGCATGAGTCAGCCAAATTAAACTAACCTCCTGCCTCTTTGTCTCCATTTTCTTTCTTGCTAAGAATAACGAGTATAACAACTAATGCTGAAACTTCAGCCACGTTAACAGGACAGACATCCAGAGTTCTTGTAAGATTCTGTGATTAATAGAAGGCTTCCAAAAGTTTAATCTGTTCTCCCCAAAGTATTATTTGTAGTATTGCATTTCTTTTCCAAACTGAGCAACTTCCAAAGCTTATAAAATTGCCATGCCATTGAGTATTGTGCTTTTCTGTACTGATTAGATGTGAAACCTGTCACTTGATTGAAGACTTCTCCATCCCTCCTATCTGTATTTGTGTGTATTTACATACTTACATAATCTACGTTGGAACATGAAAAATACTTTCACTTCAAAATATTGTTTTGTGACATTTGTATACTTTTCTGTAATGAATCTCCTATAAAGTTAGTAAGAAGTATTAACACTTAATTTGTTAGTTTGAAGAGGTGCTACCAGACTTCTGATTTGTGGCAGCCATAGACTTTATAGTATAACTGTCCTACTATAAAGCTAATAGTGAACACAGAAAATATCAAAAAGAAGATATATGAAATATTGTAAATCCCAAGTTGGACTGATTACCGACTACTAGAGTTGTCAGAGTTGCAGTGCCCCAAGAAGCCCCTTTGCATCATGTTGCTAGGTCAGGCTGGGGTTGGGCTTCATACTACGATTGGCTCCGTGCTGCATCTTGCAAACTACTGCAGTCCCAGAGCTGCAGTGCATCAAGAAAACCCTTTGCGCTGCACTATTGAGATAGATTGGGGCTGGGTTTAATGCTGCAATGCAGCTCAGGGGCTCCTTGCATTCTGAGTTGTAGACTGCCAAGAAGATCCCTTCCCCACACTGCTGAAATGGGCTGGGCTGGGTCCAGGGGTTTCTTGCAACCCCCAAACCCCAGTGCTCCAAGAAGTCTCTTTGTGCTGTGCTGGCCTGGGTTAGCTGTGGTTTTGCGCTGTGCTGCATCTCATGTCTCCTTACAGCCCCAGTGCCATGGCTTGCCTGAATTGCAGCATAGTAAACAGTCCAAGTCCCAGGCAAATTTAGCACTACTTGATGGCCCACAAGACAGGGTACGGGATGGCCAAAAAGGGCAGAGATAGGCAGGGAGGGAACTGGAGGCTTCTGAACCAGTAAGGAAGGTAAGTAGATTTCATCCCTGGATTAAGTAGTTTTAATATCTTGGAATAATCTAGACTAACTTCAGGTCATCCAGGTACTGTCTAAATACCAGCCTATATTTCTTACTATTGTGCACTTAATTTTACTTTATGCATTTGAACAGAAGTAGAGACTTGCATTAGTTTACCTTGATACAATGATTTGAACAGTAGATTTTAAGATTTTAATTAAAGTGAGAATGTTATTTAGTAAAGAATTATTTAATATTCAGTATAACTGAAAATCTGTATCTTGTGCAAATCTTAGATATATTCCAAGAAAGTTGTATCGCAGGAGATTTCTGTGATTTCTTTAGGATCAGGAAAAGTTTAATATAACCAATGTGGGATCTACAACAGATGTATCCAATTTACATCTGCTTAGCTCAAATCCCATTAAGCAGAAGTCAAATATTTTGGATCAAGACTATGTTCCTAATATCTTACCCTAAAAGTAACTGTGGCACTTCATATATTCTTTCTTGAGAGGCAAAGAACTATGCAAGCTTTCCCTAATCTAATCCTCTAGAGAGGTTGCACTGTAAGAGCCAGCATCACCAGCCAAGAGAAGAAACTTATCTCACCACTGAATTGGGTTGATCCTATACCTGAATAAAGACCTAGGAATGTAAAGTTGAGTCTATACATGAAGTAGAATAAGATGGTAGAGTGAACTGAATCAGTGCAAACTTCAATCTCTCTTTCCCCCAAACTTTAACAAATAGGAGAGAAGGTTGTTCCCAAGATGTATTTTTAACTACAATGAAAACTGGAACATTCTTACCAATGAATGGGATGAAAACCTAAAGCCTCTGCCTTATTTTCTGAAGACCCAGGCATAAAACCATGGAAACTATAGTTGTAAACCTATAAATTCCCATAAAATTAGCAAAGTCTCTCCTTAAATTCATGAAAAAAATAATAATCCTAATTTCACTCATTTTATATTACCTCCCCTTCACTGCTGTCTTCACCAATCCCAATTTTAAGTAAGACTTCCAGCTATTTAAAATTTGCCCACCCAGATCTAAAATAGGAAGACCCATTCTGCTGTGATGAAGCTAAGAAAACTTTATTTGAGTAAAATCCTATCTGAATCCTTCCTAAAAGAAAGTGTGATTCCTATTTGTTTTGATAGGATTTTATAACAGATAATCTGCACATTAAACTTTGGACATGTTGCATATGTGCAAGGAGTTGGAAGCATTTTATAGAATTTGAGCATCTAATCTGGGTACATATGTAACCCTCTATATAGCAGACATACAAACTTTGCTTAAAATGAAGCCTGGGGAAAGGAAAGTGGCATAATCATCATAATCTTTATTCTCACCAATACCTACAATTTTTTAAAACCAAGATTCAACAGCTTTTGTAATTTAAAAGGAATTACAACTTATTCTGATTCCACAGAAATATTTATTTGTAGTAAAACTAAGAAAACATTAATCTGCAATGAAATTGTGCCCCATTGCTTCAGCTTTTATTAATGCAGAGAACTGCATTGTCAAAAGGTCTATGGAGATGCTCAGTCATCCAGGTTCGAGTCATCCAGGTTTGAAAAAAGCACCTTTGGGAGTACATTGTCAAAAGGCAGCAACTCACATCATATTATTATTTTATTGGAAAACAATAGTGTATAATTGAGTTATCCTAAGAACAGAATCCTTTTTGCTCAGAACAATATACCACATGATTAGTTATATGCTTATAGTCCAACTAAATAAATTCTCTGTGAATTGATTTTCACTGATCTCATCAACATTTACTTTCCAGTAAGTAAGTCTGGAATTATAGCCACTGGCTGTGACATCAAGTTTACATATTGGCTTTGTCTGCTGTCCTCTATAAGTCTTTCTTTAAAAGAGAGACAACCAATTTTACACTGTGACCTTAGATATATTAATCCAAAAGAAAACCTCAGTTGACTTGCTCTCTGGAATGTGAATATAGGATTACAATTGTATTGTCTTAATGGAGACCAAGACCTATTGTGCAACAGGTGTTTTAAATTAATCTCCACCAAATACAGGCAATAACAGAAAAATAAACCTTACCTCTCACATCAGGAGAGAATCGAGCTGAATGGCGAGACACAAAAAGTTTAAGTTCTTGATCCAAGTTGCATTCAATGAGGTTTGTGTCCCATGATCGGATACCTAGATGTTTAAAAAAAAAAAAACGTAGTCAGGGATAAATACAGAAATATTAATTACTATTGTTAGCTTTTTTTCCCTTTTACCTCCAGGAGCTCAAGGTGGAAATCTTAGCACTCCTTCTTCCAATTTCCCGGCAAGGTAGGTTAGGCTGATAGAATGGCCCAAAGCTAGGTGGCTTTTCCCACAAGCACTGGGATGGAGTAAGGCTGGAGTCCCAATAAAACTTTATGTTGATTTTCTCTCTTTCTCTTTCTCCCTCTCTCTCTCTTTCCATCTCTGTTTCTGTCTCTTTCTCTGTCTCCCTCAGAATGGGACAACTTGCCACAGCCAACTCACTGTGGCCAACTCACTACTGACAACTCATCACGGCCTACTCACCATGGCCAACTCACTGCAGGACTCACCATGGGACAACTCTATTTCACTATTTAAAATAAATAACCATTATTTTAGTCTTTGCCATTCACATTTCATTCTGTCCCTCCTTTTGCATCCTTTCTTCAATGATTCTATTCCACTATTTCTTTCATGTTAGTGTAGCTCTTGACCTGCGGCAAATTGACCGCAGCAAGTTGCACCTCAGATAGTTGGCCATGGTGAATTGTCATAGACACACACACTCTTCTTTCTTTCTTTGTGTCTCTCTCTCTCTGTGTGTGTGTGTGTGTGTGTGTACTTTGGTGGCAGTACCTAGGGTTTTTGTGATGGTTTTTATGCTTTGTACTGTTTTTGTTGTGGTTTGTAAGCAACCTTGCATTATAGTGCATAAGCTAGGCAACTATATGAGTCTTTTTAATAAGTAAATACAGTAAACCAATTTAATGGCTTAAATATGGGTTTGAATGTGAGTCCCCCAATCCTAGTCCAACATTTTACTCACTCTCAGATTCTCTTTACATATGGATACATGAATACATTTAGATTTTATTTTTTAAAATACACCTGTCAATCCTCTACTCTAAACACATCATGTTTTTAAAACCAGTTTTCTTATTTCCCTTACCAGGCTTAGTCTTTTATCTCCCAAAGTCTCTCATATATCTTTAGTTCTTTAGTTACTGACTTTATTTAGAACTCTATTCCCATCAAGGCTAGCCTTTTTTACTTGTTTTATTAGGGAGCAAGTTTATAGAATGGTAATGTGGCATTTACAAAAGGATGATGTAGCTAACCAATTTGCAACATGCTATAAAAACATTGAACTAATTGTTTTATGCTACTTGTAAAAACACTTCCTCTAAATCATTATGCTTTAAATATTTATGAATGCATGTATGTATTTGTAAACCAGGATTCCTTCTCCACTCAACCACATTACAAAAAGTAACAAAATTAAAATAATCTGTCATTACAATCACAGAATATCCATCACTACAACAACTACGAGCAGCACAAAGAAATAAAAATGAAACAAATCTCTCCAGAAATAAAAATGAGTGAAAGAACAACTGAGTGAAGAAAGACTTTGCTGATCTAAATTTTGGAGGAGGGGAGGTGGTGGTAAGATAAATATGGCAATCTATTTGAGTTTAGGACAAACACTTTGCTGGTAGTGACTAGGGCTGTATCCCAGAAAAGGCCCTCATTAGTGTGCTGCTCAGATTTATATACCCAGTTTATACATACAGTGTATGCAAACACTTTTTGTGCAGGTGTGTTTACTTGGAATTTCAAAAACATGTTGTGATCCTGCCCAATTACCAAACAACTACCCCAGGAGACATAGCCTGTTGCAAAGCACCACTGATCAGAATCCTACCTGCCACCTTCTCTACAAAATTCTCCTACCTGGTTAACTTTGCCCTTTTTGTGCTAAGTAGGCACAGTTCCAAATGAAATGTCCATCTTTTTTGTTTCATAACACATAAAGACAAGAACCACACAGGGTTCTGGCAGCTAGCCTTCCATACATCAGTACTGCTATCACTCAGGGTTTTCTACCAATAACTGTATTCATCTCTGTTTGATGGAAATAGGCACTGTAGTATTGCCTAAGTATTTATGATACTAATCCTTTTCATCTAGTACCATTGTCTTAAACCAGGGGTACCCAAACTAACTGGGCCGTGCAAACAGCGGGCATGTGTGCAGTTTCATTTGCGCATGCGCAGGATAAGGTTGTGTGTGCAAAACTTCTTTTCCCCACACCAATTGCCACCGCCACTGCTAGTCTGAGGAGCAAGAAAGCTTTGGGACCACTTTCTTAAAGGATTCCATCTATTTTCATCAATAGAAAAAGCCAGCTCTATAAAACTCTTTTGTCTGATCTGAACAAACTGTCCCATCAGGGAATAATGCTTTCTTCTCATTTAACCTCACATTTGTCTTGAATCACCTCATTTTTCTCGATCACATCTGTACAATGAATGTTAATTTTATGGCAGCCTTTCGCAAACCATCAACTTCTGAACTATAATGCCTAGTTTGGGAATGTATTAATTCTTGGATTCCACCAACCCACTTTGTCTCCCCAGGAACTCAGAACAATATACAAATATTTTTCTCCTCCATTGTTTCCCCCACAACAACTACCTTTTGAGGTAGGCTGAATTAAGAATGTGGTAGGATATAGATACTATTTTGCTTTCTGCATATGGTTAAGATACAGAGTACCCAAGGCCAGCCATGTTATTTAGGCACATAAGGTAGAAAAGGCCACAGGTTTTCCCCGTATCTGCCAGTTACCATAATCTCACCAATTAAATAGCCATTTATATGACTCATAAACATTGTAGCCTGTTTCATTCAGCCCAAAGATAGTTATTCTGCTCACACCCTTTAGCCTGTGTCAACTACAGTTGTATCTAGCACACATTACTGAGCAGATTTTCTATATACTAATACATCTAGCAATACTACGGGTTCCTAGCTTACTATTAGCAAGGACTGACATAAGAGAAACTAAATATGGGAGTCCAGCCAAGATAATATATTGATGCTTCCTTTTAAAGTCTTGAAAATTTTGAGTTTACATTTTTACATAAATAGCAGTAAACTTAATTCAATGTGTTACACTGAAATATTTACAGCAAGGTATTATAAATTAAAAGACTATTATTTGTTTATATGATGTAAACAAAGATTCTAAGAATTAAATACATGCAATCATCTTAGATAATTTTTAAAATAATGTTTGTTTTTTTACAAACAGAATAAATGCAAATGTTTGGAAGCAAATCCTAATTATTGCATCAATTTTAAAGAAGGTCACCTACTTCCTCCTTCCCCAACTGTTTTATTGGTTTGGTCAATAAGACAATGTGAGTTCTTCTACAAACCTGTATGCATGTAACATTTATAGCTCTGTACACTGTACCTGAACAGCAGGTGTCAGCTAATTAAAAGGGAAGCAGCAACAGTGCAGTAATACCAAAAGGATAGGGCTGTACAATATTTTTCTGGTGGGACTATATTTGGCCAGTGGTCTGGGGTGGGAGATGGTGACGACCCTCCCAATGTGGATAAGATAGGACAAAAATTGTGTTTTACCTCATTGGATTCAAATTGACTAAATAACTTAAATTACAATGTATAAGATTGCTCTCCATTTTTTCCCCTTATGTTACATTTACGATCAATTTTGATGTTAACTTTGGAAAGGCTCTGAGGGCCAAAGGTAAGGATTTTGGGAGCCTCAGGAGACCCCTGCAAGAGGAGTTTCAATGTGGTCAGAAAATAACCACTGCTTTTCAGGATCTGTAATGGGCAAAATTATAACCTTATAATTATAAATACAGGTAGAAGACCTGTAACCAAAACAATGGTTAGATAAAAGAAATTTGGGTCCAACCCAATCTGTAATCCATGTCTGAGACAAAACCCTCCCTAGTTTTCCTGAAAATAAAGGGAAGAGGAAGTGCATTCAGACTTGTAAGATTCTGATACTATAACCTTACACTAAAAGTAGTATTAGTTGATGTGATTTTAGTTCTTAGTCTGGTCTACCTTGGAGGGCTGACAAGCATCCTTAGCAAAGCATACTCAATATTTTAGGGTGGAGATAGATATAAACAAATTTATCTGTTATACAATTAGAAACAGTTGAACAAATGGGCCTAGAAAATTAGACAAACCTGTTAGAAATTCTGGGTAAAGAGAATTTTAAATTCAAACAGTTTAATTTCCTCTCAGTAATTTAATGTTTGAAACACTAATTACTTTCAGCTGTAGTGGAATAGAACAGTTCCAAAAGTATTTGGGTATTGGTAATAATAGTAACGTTCATACAGCATGTTCCTTCTGCCTTTTAGACAGGTTTTTTTTTAATATTGTTTCTTATTACAATAGAATGTATTAACAGGATAAAAGAGTTGGAAGGGACCTAGGAGGTCTTCTAACCTAACCCTCTGTTTAAGGCAGACACCTTATACCATTTAGACAAATGGTTGTCCAATCTCTTCTTAAAAGCCACCAGTGTTGGAACACCCATAACTTAATTTTATATACATATACATACACACACACACACACACACACATGGTTAAGTGACATTTGGAAAAACTGTGACAAACAGATCTATTGACAGGTTTATTGTCAGACTCTATTTCAACAATGATCCTGTAAGATTATTTCCAAATAAAGTGAACAATGTAATGAATGGATATAAATAAATCACATTATAAGCTTGTCTACTGGTGGAACAATGTTTAGTCTGCCTTGTTATATCTGCTCCAATCACTGGGGATAATCACCCTGAAGAAGCAATTTGGAGGCTGGAAAGAGTTCAGAGGTGAGAACACAAAGTCCTGTCATATGAGCAAAAGACCAGTTTCATGACACTGGATGGAGGTAACACCTGTTGAGCTAGAACTGTTTAAAATGAGATTACTGTATGAATTACAGAGCATTCAAATTCCCAACTTAGCAAAGCCAAAAGGATGTGCTAGAATTTAAACATCAACTGTCTTCAGTGCTTCTGTAGCATATCTGCTAAATTGCTAATCTTGTTTTTCTTGTATTTCAACAAAAATGAAAATATTTTATAAATAAATGTTCAAAAAAATAATTAAATCATATTCATGCTTCCTCCAAATTATTTCATTCTAATTGCTTCCAGAACTATTAAAAATATATCAGGCTCGCATACTCTTTAAAAAATTTGTTTTAAGTCAGTCAAATTAAATTGTTTTAGTCTACTGAGTACACAATTTTGGAAGTGTGCCTTTTTGAAAATTTTCAAAAGGGAATCCATATTATTGTGTTAAATCAATCAGATTTTGCTTTTATCCTGCTTTTAATGGAAGTCTTGAAATTCAATAATGGCCAAAAAAAAAAAAAAAAAGTCCAAAGAAGAGTGATTCCTTCTTCAGTTTTTTCCACTTCAACTATGACATCATTAGTAAATCTCTGCCAAATTTTCACAAAAGGTCTGACTTGACAGAAAGCAACTTCTGCCTTGATTAGGAATATAGGACGTAGCTCTATATAATGTCAGAATTTATGGTCTATTGCAGAGGTCTTCAAACTTGGCAGCTTTAAGCTATGCTGGCTGGAGAATTCTGGGAGTTGAAGTCCACAAGTCTTAAAGCTGCCAAGTTTGAAGACCCCTGGTCTATTGTGACATGCAATATTTTTTGTTGGAAGATCTTCCCATCCACTAATGGACAACTAATTTTTAGTGGAGATGATAGTTCTTATCTATATTCCAAAGGTTAATCCCACACCTATAGCATGAATCTCTAGGTCGCATGAGTTTGTCTGGAAAACTGACCCAGAATTTCTTAAACCTGATGCATGTATCATATCTTTAAACCTTTTTCTCTTGTTTGACTTCAAATCCTCTAGTATAAAGCCAGGCTGATCTAAATTGTGCAGACAGTTTGAAAACGATTCAGAGGACATCTGATTAATAGTTTTTCCATATGGTATATAGAAAATTATTCTGACTTACTACAGTTATTATTTTAGGATATTCAGGTTTGCTATCTGCTTTATATCTTATTTTTATTTCTTAATACATTTTGTATCATTCCCAGGTATACAAAGAGTTTGTAAGTGTTCATATTTTATGGGATCTAGTTAACAAAAATGTTTCAGAATGAGAAACATATGGATAATGTATCCAGTAATGTATTCGTGTATTCACACAAATATGACAGAACTCAAATATTTTCAGTTTGTATGTTATATGTACATTCATTCTGGTAAATGAAAGATTTAGCTGGACATTTCTGAAAGATTGCTTTGTATCAAATCTTATAATCCTTTGCTACCATGTTTGAGGGCACCAAGTTAGGAAAATGTTACTGAACATTTGGTAATCAAATTCAGTTATTTTTAGAATACTGGCTTTTGCAAGAATTAAAAAAAACCCAGATATAAATCATAAGTTCTCAAAAAGCCAGCCTTGTTTAAAAGTAAATATGGAAGCCTATTAAAGATCCACTGTTAAATCAGTCTATACAATAGAGCTCTGTGAGTCAGCATTTCTGACACAATTATCACACAGAATTCTACACTAAAAAGTAGAAAGATTGGTCTTGTATATTAACATGAGTGATTAATAAAAATATACTGAAAGGAATTTTTATTTCCTTCTAAAAAAAATAAAATCAGGTCTGTCAATCATTTTTGTCAGTTCAAGTCTTTATCAGCAATCTGGGCAGACTCACAATTGTTAGATTTTCCATAGGTTTTAAAGTATGGGGGGGGAGAGTAAAATGGATATATGGAAATAAATATTGTATAATAAAGTTTTTTGATACATAAATAATAATTTAATAAATAATAAAGTTGATTTTCTATAATTATTAAATAGCTGTCACCATTAAATATCATTTGGTAATATTAAAAAACATTTTTCAATTCCTTCAAGATAATATTTTACTACGTCATCCATAGATGATGGGCTCTCAGATTTCTCTGCAGTGATTCATATTAATTGAGCATCTTCCAGGGTGGTGTCCAAGGGCCAAAACTAAGAGTGCAGAATCATGAAACCATGAAGGCCTTGCTGTAAAAGCCTTGTTCAACTAGACATTTAATCAAGCTGCTGTATATTTTAACAAAGAAATCTCTAGACTTTTCTAATCAAGGCTTAAACCACTGACATGGGTAAATCCCCTGAATGTTTATAAATGCCATCATTTTGTGTTCAGAATCTAGTATCAAGAATGCTACAATTGAACTATGCAGTGAAAAACAAAACAAAAATCAATATAGGAATTTTGTTTCTTTTTGTTGAAGCAAAAACTATCATCAAATGCCTTAATATTATTAAATTATTAATCAAAATGCAGCAAATTCCGACTTAATCTAAAACTTTTAGGTGTAGCCAGAAAGAACATGACCAAAGATAATTTCCGGCAACTTTCGGTATAATTACAGAAATCAATGTATAGTGCAAATTCACTAGAACACAAAATCAAGAACAAATCCCAAAGTAATTATGAACCACACCTACATGTAGCCAAGGGTTTCTGACAATGGCTGAAATCCCTTGCTTTCTTTTTCTAAGAAAAGAATAATTAAAGAGAGAATTTGCCTAAAGTTTATGAATATAACCAGCTTTGATACTCAAAATACATATCATTTTATTCTACTTGTACTGAAAAATTGCTTTCCTCAATTTTCAGTACTGCGACTTTTGAAAGAAGCTGTAATAATCTGTAGCCAAGCAATAGTAAGATACAATAAATAAAGTGTTCCTTTTTCTATAATTATAATTTCTCTGTGTTACTTGTCTTGAAAAAAATATCTCTCCAAAATCTGCACTATGCTCAGAAAGCTTGAGAAGGAAAAAAATCCATATCACTTATGGCCGAAAGTTAGAAACAAAAGAAGCTGCTGTATTTCTGTTCAGAAGTGGCATATTTTGCAGCTCCAGAGCTCTCTAAAGCCCCTTCTCCTCAATTTTCAGGGAGCAAAAGCAAACAGGGTGCAAATGGATCCTAAATATAATTCTCTTTTTCTCCTTGACTGTATAAACGCCCTTTGTCAGCTATGGGCTGCCATAGGGACCGCACTGCGGACTGCACCACGCCCACCACGCCGCCGGTATCTCTGGGCAGACTCTCTAGCAGCAGCATAGAGAGGTGGGAGGAAAAAAAAAAAGAAAAAAGAAAAAGGAGACACTGTTGCTGGCAAGCAAAGACTGGAACGACCTCTGCTCTGAGCTAGAGGGGGGTGGGTGGGATGTGTATAAATGATGACAATAGGAGGGGAGGAATGACTCACAGAAGAGAAAAGTAAAACTCAAGATCAACTGCACCTTCCTTGTGCCTCTTGGTGCAGCAAAAATGCCAAAGTCAACTGCAGATCTTTCTGTGGAAAGGCAAAATACCCCCAACACCCAACGTATTTGCTGATTCAGAAGCAGAGGCATCCTTATCCATCTCCAGGAAATGTACTCGATGGAGTAAAAATCATACAGCATTTCCCTGGACATATTACCCCTCCCAGATCTCATTTCCTTCTGCTTCCTGTCCTACATCTCTGGAAATATGGATGAATATCCCCAGAGAACAAGGTTTTCCTAAGAATGAGGAGGGGGATCAACTCTTAACCTTGTTGTTGTTTGAAGTCAGCTACGGGTAAAAAAAAACAAAAAACCCCAAAGCCATCAATTACAAGGGTGCCATTTCTTCCCCTCTCATCAGGCAAGAACTGCTGCCTCCACACCCTTCAGTGCCTCCCTGCAGCTTCTTTCTTTCTTCTGTGCACAAGGCACGCCTAGAAATGTGAATCTCTCTGAAAAATGGGACCGGGGTGGGGGGGTTAAATATTGACACGGCTGGCCACAGTAGCACTGCAGTTCTAGAGAGAGAATCCTCACCCCCTCCTAACACAAGCATCCACAGAAGAGAAAAGGGAGGAAGGGGGGGGAGAGAGAAGGGAGTGGTTGCATCAGATTTTCCTTTTTTGGGATCTCCGCTGGGCTGAACTAGGAGATCAGCCCAACTAGTCCCCGAGAATTGCACCATAAACAGGCAAGGAGCAGAAGTTCCGATGGGGACGGAGGGGGCGGCGGGTACCAAGGTCGTAGGCAGAATCACAGCTCGGGTAACTGCATCGAACTCTCTCCTCCTCCATTCCCCCCCCCCTCTCTCTCTCCACCACAAGAGACGGTGGCAGCAAGGACTTTTGTGCAACCTGTAGGGCGTCCCTGATCTCTCCCCTTTCCCCTCGGCCAAGCCAGAGAGCTCGGGGGCGGGAAGGAAGGAAGGAAGGAAGGAAAAAAAACGAGATCCCTCTTCCCGAAAATCCTGCCGGAGAGAAGGAAGAGAGGAGAAACTGGGCGGGCGGGATTAGGGCAGAAAACCTCCGCCTTACCTCGCTCTATATTGCTTATGGCTCTTCTCAGATGCTCCTCCGTGACCAGCTCGCCCACCACGACCAGCAGATAAAATTTGCTGTCGAGAAAACGGTGCGACAGGCTCGGCGAAGGGGGGACCGCGCTGGGAAGGCTACAAGACGGCTCCGACTCGGGTTCCAGCACTACCGTCGCCATCCTGGCAAGCCCGTCGCCGCCGCCGCCGCCTCCTCCTCCTCCTCTTCCTCCCTCCTTCGCAGCGCCTTCTCTAGGCTCCTCTCCTCGCAAGGCGACGGCGGAGAAAAGAGGGGAGGCGACGAAAGGGTTTAATTCCAAAGGCGCCTCCCTCTGCAGGGGGAGAGAGAGAGAGAGAGAGAGGGAGGGAGGGAAAAAAAAGAAGCGCGCCGAGAGGCACCGCCGCGCTCCAGGCAGCTGGGAGAGTGAGGGAGGGCGGGGAGGCGGCGGGTTTTTATACCGAGACAGTGCGGGGCTGGGACCTGGCGAGAAGGCGGAGGGAGGCGGCGGCGGCGGCGGCTGAGGAGAAACAGGCGGGGTGCGGGGGGGGGAGGGAGACCCGGCACAGCCACGCGCTGCTGCTGCCGCCGCCGCCGCTTTGCCAACAGCCGCCACAGGCAGCTGATGTCATTTGCAGCAAATCATTCCCATCGCTGCCTCCGGAAGGAGGAAGGATGAGGTGAGGCAGCGATGCCCCAGAAAAAGCACCGCCAGGAATGAGGATGGGGCCTGCTTGGACTCCCCGGGCCCCATCCGAACTTTTTTATTTTTTTTTTCCTTTTCCCCCTGTGGATTCTTCATCTTCAACATCTTGATCCAGAAAATAAGGATTAGTGTCTCCCGCCGAGGAGGGACAGCCATCCGGAGGACACACAGGGCCACACGCGGCCAAGCAAAGTCCAAGCAAAGAGTAATATTTGGCCCTGGCGATTGTGCCAAAGTCAAGGCAAAGACAGTATTTTCACATTGATAAACTCCGAAAGATCAGCCAAACGGGTTGGTCATTGGTTTTCAAAATTATCATATATGAGATCAGATAAATTAGATAAGTGGATTTATTCATTTAATCACATTTGTATAGCTGCCTGTCCTGCTTAGTGACTTTGGGCAGCGTACATAATCATCATCATAAAGAATATACAGAAACCATTAAAATAATAACAAAAAAGCAAAGTGATGGAAAAATAACTGTATTAACTTTCATACAACTATCTAGCAGATTCCATTCTAGCACAGTACCCCCAAACTAGTTGACAAAGCCACTTTTTATGGGCAGTTGTAGGCTGTAGGATGGAAATAAGATGGGTAAAAAAATTTCCACAGGAGACAACAAAAACAACAAACAGATTTTATACTGTAGCCGGTGCCTCCCCAGTCAGTCATAAAACTGAGCTGAGCAAAGAAGAAACAGTGAAGCCACTAAAATCAAATAGCTTTTGAATAACACTAATGCAAAACATCCCTCTCTGCTATTGGATTCATGCAATTTTTTAATGTAAATGCTTGCCAGTGAATACTTTTTGTGATCTGCTTCCAAAGTTGAATGAGCAAGCACAGCAACATGGTTTTTGCATTTTAGTAATCTGAAAGTTCAATACCATACCAAACAAAAAAGTCACATTTACACAACTGACACAAGAACAACAATATTACATTATATCCATGAACTCTTAAGAATACATGAATGGTAACTGATAAGAGAACATGGCAGGAGTTTATAGTATTGTTTAGCTAAAATACTTTTAACAGATTATATATTTATAACTTAAACATCTTATTTATTATGGTACATTCCTAAACGTGATAAGATTGTCCCCAACTTTACTTTACTTTCAGTATGAAATCAAATGTTTCATCCCAAACATTCTAAAATACTAACTTTGAAAAGTCATTGTTCATAGATTGCTTATTACTTTTCTATGCCTCTTTCTGAAATTTGTTTTAGAGTCTTGCATATTTTACCCTGGGATTTCCTACAGGTAAAATAACAAGTTAAAAAAGCATAAAACATGTCTCATGGATGAAGAACATGTATGCCATGTGTTTCTTAAACTTTTTTCTCTCAGGACAAATTCTCAATTTTAAAAATTATGGAGGAGTCCCTTTTGTTTGTATGGGTTATATTTATCAATATTTGAAATTGATGCATTTGTTGCAACTACCACTTCTTACAATTGTTTGATGGGATTTTATTATTGTATTATTTTTTAATATAGGCTGGTAAATAATTTATAAAAAAATAATGATTTTGAGGATCCCTGAAAGGATCCAAGGTCTATATTTTAAGAAACGCTGCTCTGTGATATGTGCTGTGTTATTCTCCAGGTAGTACTAGATGCCACTGAATAACATTTCTGTTATTCTGTTATTTTGACACAGCTTTCCTAAAGATGCTTTCATCAAACCATCATTGTTATGTGTTTGACATCAGATGAAGATATGGAAAGCCTCTTAGTAATGTGTGTGGTTTCTGTTTGGTTGTTTTTAGCTAAGACCACTCAATTTCAAATGCTATGTTCTTGTTTTACCACACATATTCTTTTCCTGCTTTTTAAGTTTTAGTCTATATTTATTGAGGGACTGCCTTTATATAAAGGATATAAAGATGTCTTTATTCATTTTCAGGACCTATGTTTTTTTATAGAACTTATACAATGGAAAGGCAGTATCAATACTGTTATGTAAAGTAAATTGCCAAATCCATATTATTTTCTCCAAAATAACAAGAAAATGATAGAAATTTCCATGTCTATCAATCTGTCAACTGCTTAAGATAGGAAGAAAGGTATGATCAAGATAATTTGCTTCCTAGATAGATATGCCAAATATTTTCTAACAGTTCATTTAATATGAAATATCATTGGGAAGTAATAGCAAATCCTAAAATGCAGGTAATAGATTTTGTGTTAATGAAGTGAACTGAATAAAACGCTATGTCTGCAAGCAAACAACCAAGCTCAAAGCTCAGGGAAGTATCTTTCAAATCTAGCTCAACTCCTGATTACTTTTAGGAACAAATCTATTAGGTTTTCCTGATTATACACCATGCTTCTTGGTCCCATGTAGAGTACTGATCCATAAAGGTGAACTTCCATCCATATTAATAACCAGGCCTACCGTCAAGATGTGTTTATCAAAAAAAACCCCCACCAAATCCATTATTTTATTTTTTTGACAAGCACTTTCCCTGATGCATATTTTAAGAAAAAGCTTCCCAAAGTAAGCTCTTTGAAAACACATAATTGCTGCTATGGGTATGTGAATTTCAGTAGTATATTCTTTTTCATTTTCTGTAGGATGGATTGGGTTTTTTTTTTTGTTTTGTTTTTGTTTTGTTTTGTTTGTTTGTAGATTTGGGGTCAGGTAGGACTTTTGATTCTATCATTTATGCCATTGCTAAGTCAAGTGAAAATGTGATGTTTCAAATACCCTGTTTCCCCCAAAATAAGACATCCCCTGATAATAAGCCCAATTGGGCTTTTGAGTGCATAGCAATAAGGCCCAAGTGCTTATTTCAGGGTTCAAAAAATATAAGACAGGGTCTTACTTTTGGGGAAACATGGTAATTTCTTATTATTTTTTATAATATACATCTGTGCATGGCCTAAGAATAGTTCCCAGCATTTTCTGTGACATCACATAACATTTTTTTTATTTTAGTGAGCCATTGTAATAAACCAACATGGTCTAGTAAACTCAGCCTTCTAGAAACCAAACAGCACATGACAATACTGAGAACATGCAAGTGATGGGTATTTTATTGCCTGATAAGATGAATAAAATGTTTTTTATTCTACCAAAAATATTTTTGTTACATTTTGTGTTTCAAAATGCATGTCTTCTACCAGAGGTTTTCTTGTTTCAATACTTGACATATTGTTTCTTTATGTATTACCACCTTGATACATGAACTGTTTTACTAATGACATTTCATTAGTGCCCAGTAATACACAAAGGCAATGAATTGATTATAATTATTTGGTAAGAATACTGGCAGTATGCTTTCAAAATTCCAAATGTCCTCATTGGTCAAGCATTCCAAATTGGCACTCATCAAACTATGGAGCAAGCAGAATTTTAATACAGGAAGTTGATATATATTCAAAGAAAAAGGTAAATGAATTGAGCATCTATAATCATATATATGCCCAGTTAGCCAGTTCCTGGCTTTACAATATTTTGACAAAAGATATGCTGCTGTTTCATTCATGCTGTTTTTCTCTGATCATATGGTCCTTCTTTCCAAGATGACGGGCCACCGAGTTCTTGGTGCACCAGTAATACCAGTACTGATATAGTATCAATATCTTGTGCTGTAATAATTGCTCTGGGAGTTCCTGAACACATTGTAAACATGCTTCCCAAAAAAGCAGAAAAGAAGAGGAAGTACTACTAATATGATGAGAGTATACCCCCCTCCACACACACACAAACCCTGAATCCTAACATTTATCAATGACAGCTGGTTTGGTCTAGTGGTTAAGGCTCCAGGCTAGAAACCAGGAGACTATGAATTCTAGTCCCATTTTAGGCATGAAAACCAGTTGGGTGACTTTGGCCCAGTCATTCTCTCTCAGCCAGACTCACCTCGCAAGGTGGGTTGTTGGGAAAATAGGAGGAAGAAGTATTAGATATGTTTGCTACCTTATTTATAAAAATAAAGGTGCAATTTTAAAAAAATCACCTGCTATAGAAGAAAATGTGCAGCCACCAGCAGCTTAGATTAGAGATGCTATTTTCAAAGATATTTAAATTATACCTCTGCCTAGTAGGTACTCAAACCTGTATTTAAACCAAATAAAGCATCAGTAATTTAAATTATCCTGGCCCCAGGATTTTAGAAGTCAATATCACCTTCTTGACTTTAGCTTAGAAGTTAATCATTCTTCATAAAAAGTTATCTGCACCAATCATAAGTAGCATACCCTGGACATACATGTACATATTTTAAATATTCTGCTGCTGCTACATTCAAAAGGTTTTAAAGTTAGATTCTAATTAGATAGTATTGTCTTAACAGAGTGATATATGGATCCTCAGTTTTCAGGAAAAATATTGACGTAATTTGGTTTTTTAAATTTAAACATTTACAGAATAATATATTTTTCTCTAAACCCAGAAAATTGAAGTGCAACAACAACAAAATCAAAGCACTGAACAGAATTTTTTTAAAATTTAAATAGTTGTATTACTTGCTGGAATGGTATTTAAGGGCCTCAAGTATGTGATCAGCAGCACTAAATCATAGGTAGGGAGGAGGTGATGAAATGTGCATCCATGACTCTGCAGTGCATATTCTACCACTTTAAATACTTGTGTATGATACTGCAATACAGTGCAAAAGAACAGAGCTTGTGTTGTGATGTCATGATGCAGGTCTTGTCATTCAGACATCAACATGATGAGGAACAGACACTGATGTACCACACTACAAGTCATAATTTTATAGCACTACCATAATGGCATTAA